CTATAGTGCTGCTGCTGGAGGGGATCCTCGTCTCTTTCCAGTGTTGGGGCTGTTTTCTGGTGCCATTGGCTCCAGCCCTGATGTTCACCACCTTCCTCCTCCCAGCCTGCCCAGGTGCTCATTCCTTTCCCTGTAGCTCCTACGTCTGGACAAGGGCCAATCACGGGAGAGGGCTCCCCCATCCCCACAGAGCCAGCAGAATCCTGTAACTTCAAAGCTTTTACTTGAGTCAGGAGCAAGGACCCTGGGAAACAGCTCAGTCCTTCAAGGCTGCCTGGAGGCAACATGAAAAGAGTTGACCTGGTTTTGGGGCACTCCTCAATGAGACTGGAGTGCTGTGGCTCTGTCCGTGTCCCCTCAGACAACAAGGGGCTGAGACCACGTCAGTGCCTGGCACTGTTGTGGAGGGGTGTCACTACGGGCCTTAGGACCAGCTGTGAGGTCAGGCTCAACTACGTACACACACATACTCATCTGCACTAACACATACCCAACACGCACAATGGTGCACAAACAGATACAGAGACTTATCTGTACAATCTTCTATGGCAGGCTCATGTCAGTCCTGGTGCTCAAGTCTGACAGCTCATGCTGCTTGGAGCCGTATCTCACATGGGCTGGAGTCGATCAGTTTTTTCTGTATCACCCAACAACACTGTAGTGACAGTCAGTTTCTCATTCAGAAGGAGGAGACAAACTTTCTTGCTCCTCATTCTGCTTGTGCTTCTTACCAAATATTTTCCACATAATTCAAGCCACATTATCTGCCCATGCCTGGTACTTCAGCATTTAATTTCTCCTAGCCTTGAATTAGCTCTCTTTGTGTGGCTTCAAGGACCTTGCCCACTCCTACATATGTAGACCTCATTTTCACAGAACGATAGAATCACACAATGGCTTGGTTTGGAAGGCACCTATAAAGACCATCTTGTGCAATTCCTCTGTCACGGGCAGAACTTCTTTCATCAGATGAGATGCGAAAAGCCTCATCCAGCCTCATTTTGTCTTCTTGAATAATTCTAGAAGAGAAGATACAAATGGTTTCTTTTTCTTTCTTCTTCTCAACAATTTATATAAGAACAACACATCAAAAGGAACATGCAGACATCAAAAAAGGTGCGTGGAGTCTTAGTGCTCCTTTTATGCCCACTGGTTCTTACATGAAAACAATGTCAATTGCCAGCAGAACAATTAAATTGGCAGGCTAGGAGCACCTGGAGCCCTTCTTGTCACCAGGATATTAAAAAAACCCAAACCAAAGTGCCCCAGGCTGGCATCACCTGCAGCCACTGGATCCATCTGGAACTCCGTACAGCACTCTGTCCATGTCTTCTGCCCACACTGGTGCATCCTTGCCCCAGAAATCCTGGGGCCTCTCATCCCAGCAGTCAAAAGCAGCGTCCCTGACAGATTGGGCATTACATAAAGCAGGAAATGCAAGGGAAGTGTGAGGGGAAATAGCCACACATGCCATGTCATTACCTGGGAAGTTTCCATTTCTTAGGAGCGTGCAGGAAAATTGTTGTTTATTCAGCAGCTGCCTTTGTGCCTGAGGCAGTGTGAAGGCAATATAGAAGTCAGTCCAACTTGCCGCTCTCTCAACCACTGCTGTCACCTCCTTCTCCTTGGGAACCAGGTGAGTTGGAACCCCCTTTCTCCTCCATCACCTCCCGTAGGATGGGGTCTCGCCTTCAAGGACCACTCAGCTGACACCTACCCCTTGGTCTTACGTTAGTGCTCTGAGATCGTGGTTGTGGGAGAGGGCAGAGGAGAGACAGTCTGTCATGGAGAGAGGCTTAGGCTGGTCTGAGGTGGTTCTTTGCTACAGGCTAGGCAGGAGGATCGCTGGGCAGGGCTGCTATCCAAATGAACCCACTGAGCTCAGGCAAAGAAGCCCCTGTTCCCTCCTGCACATCCTCCACCTCCCCACACAGCATGTTCCTTGGCTTCCTTTGGTGGGGTTGCAGGCTGTTCCTGAGATGTCCCTGTGCTCTGCTTCCTCCCTGCTCTCTCTCCCAGGTGTACCACCTGCCCAGAAACATGTCCTGCTACAACAGGTGCCTGCCATGCTGGCCCTGCGGCCCAACCCCACTGGCCAACAGCTGCCATGAGCCCTGTGTCAGGAAGCCTTCCACTGTTGCCAACGAGCCCTCTCACGTGGTGTTCATTCTTCCTGGCCGCATCCTCAGCTCCTTCCCGCAGAACACTGCTGTGGGCTCCTCCACCTCTGCTGCTCTTGGCAGCATCCTCAGCTGTAACGGAGTCCCCATCAACTCTGAGTTCTGTGACCTCTCCTGCATCACCAGCCGCTCCTGTGGCAGCAGAAGGTGTCCCCCTTGCTAAAGCCACTGGTGACAGCACAGACAAGGAGCCCCAGGAACCCAGAAGATGATGCTAGACTGAACAACGGAGGTCATGGCCGTTGCTCTGAGAGGGGCTGAGCATGCCCCACTGCTCCTGCAAACAGTGTCAGCCCTTTGGAAGGGGCCAACTTGGGCTTGCTGAAAACATGGCCATTGCCTCTCATCCCCTCCCTCCACTGTCTCCTTTCCCTCCATTTCCTTTGTTGCTTTCTGCTCACTTGTCCATGAGACCCACCAAAGCCAGCTTAAGGGGGACCTGCCTGTCCCTCTCCGTGTGTGGGGCAGACAGAGGAGTACCCTGTGGAAACTGTCCCTTGATCATGGGGCACTGACTCTTGGCTGCCCATGGTGATCCTTTCCCTGTGGACTCCCCTCCGAGACATCTTGTTTCCTTCTTTGGACTCATTAAACTCTGCTGCATTCCAGCCTCCAGCTCTGTGTGGTCCTTTCCTCTCTGGATCATCTCTAAAGCTGTCCAGAGAGCAGGAGGTATGCTGGGACGCTTTCTCATTCTGAGAGGACTGAGAGGGCAGGAAACAGTCTGTGGGCCTCCTTCAGTCCCTGCCCTTGAAGCTGAGGACAACATCTCTGGCTACTCCACAGCCAGTGACCATCAACCCTTCCCTTGCTGCATCTCTACCCAGAAATATTCCCCTTGGCCTCCGAGCATACCCTACAGAGGGTGATCCCAACTTGTTCTGTCTTCATGGGAGGACCCCAGGACTGCAGGAGGCTCTGGGAGATCAGCAGCCCCACAAGCCCTCAAGGCAGTTTGTCTTGCTCTGGATGGAGCTGTGCTGGGGCAGAAGGCTCAGGCAGAAGATGGTCGTAAGGATGGAAGGAGGCGATGGGAGGACAAATCACCTTGGCTAGAGACCCGAACCTCCTCCTCCTCACCTTCCACCCCCATCTCCAGAAAGAGGGATTATGGCCTGGATCCAAGGGCAAGGACAGCTAGGGCAAGTTCCCTGTTCTTCCGTCACACCCACACTGTGCAGCCCAGCGGTTCATTACACAGATTTTCAGGGCTGAGGTGTCTTGCAGAAAAAAAAAATAAACTGTTATGACCCAGCCTGAACCTGCTCTATTGTCTGTTGCCACAACAAAAGGGCTGATTTGTTACAACCTGCTGTCATAACAGGGGGAATGGAGACTACGAATGGGCAAGACACATGTCTGGTGTGAAGTTTCTGCTGGGGAAAGGAGACAAAAGGTGTTTTTCCCTAAGTGGTTAAATGGCTGAGTTTGAGACAGCATTCACTCCTTTTTGGAGGTGGTTGGAACTGGCTCTGTCAGGCACGGGGGCAGTGCCTGGACTCTTCTCACAAGAGGACACAATTGCAACCTCCACACCACTACCAAAATCTTACTTCATACGAGTGGGAAAAACAGAGAATAAAATAAATTTATGTTAATAACAAACTCACCAGATAAACAACAGTTCAGGCTTCAATAAGGTGTAGATGCAACTTTGAATAATCTTAAGAGAAATAATATGATCAGTCATGCTTAAAGATTTGGAAAGAAATGCTCCACAAATACCACCATCTAATGTCCTCGGTAGATCCTTTTCATGTCTTCGGCAAGTTGAACGGATGGAGCTGGTTATAGTCATTTCCATAATGCTATTATCATCGAATCCTAACTGCTGTATTTCACATTATTCTCTTTGGCCTCTTTGACCTCCCAGTGCACTTTCCCCAAGAAATTCTATCTGGCAGATCCCCAAGGGGACAAAAATCTTCTGTTATGAAGTGCAGGGTTACAGCTTTGCCTTCTGTTTTGCAAACTCCAGACACGAGAGCTATCCCAGCTTTTCTGCAAAACCCCAACAAGATCATAGCTCTGCAAGTGTGCAAAGACTTTCACGTTGTCAGTCAGTCAGAGTTCAGAATGAGGTCTCCTGATAGTAATTGAGGTTATGCAAAGTCCAATGATCACCAGGTGTGCTCATAGAGATGAGGAAGGTCTCAGGTCAAGCTGGGAAGTCACGTGCATGTCAGGGTCCGAAGTGCGATCAGTGCTATCCATGTCCAGACACAGGCACAAATGTGTCACCACTGGAGCTGTAACTCCGGTTGGGGCCAAGCATTCGAACTTCAGTGCACCCATGGGAAGCTCCTCCCATGGGAAAGGGAGTCAGTCCTGGCTGAAGCCTCCCAGCAGCACTACCTGGGAATGGTCTCAGCAAGGCCAACAAAGGGAAGGGGGCCCTCAGCTGAGCTACCTCTGGGTTGTATCAGTGCTGTATCTCAAAGCCAAGCAACATCTGCACCCCTGTCCCTTTAGTCCAATACCCATTTGGTGTGAGGTCTTAGCCCTTGCCTAGCTCATCAGCAGGCTGATGAGCTGTAAAAGCGCATCTGGCATTGACATGTACATGAGGAGCCTGTGTCCTAGCCCAGTGACCAGCAACACTGCACCCTAAGGGGCTCCACTCAGTGACACAGGTCTACATGAAGTGGGCAGGCTTGCTTGGCCTTTCTCCCTTCACAAAGCAAGAAATGATGGGTGCAGGAGGCAGACACTGCATTTCATTGCTAGTTCTCAGTGAACCTCCGTACCAGGGTGAAGCCATAACCAGTCAGCTGTAGATTCCATTCAGCCACCATTTATTATGTCAGGAGGAACCTTCTACTCTCTGTATCTCATCAACACACCAAGGAAAAGTCTCCCTACTATGACCTGAACATGCCCTCATGGAGTGCCACACAAGTACAGAGAGACACACGTGTGCTCATGCACACCTGCATGGAATAATGCAAAAGTCTGTGTGCTCACATAAAGCCAGCCTAGAGTCCAGCACTTATACACATAAAAGCAGGAAAATATCAGTGAGAGCGGACTCTGCTGAGGAGATGCTGGGACCACACTGACAGAACATATTTCAAACACTCTGGGGAAAAAACAGGCCCCAGACGTGCTCCTGGTGACCTGCAGGGACTGCACAGGGAGGGAATGAGGCAAATGAGCCCAGTAAAATGTTCCCAACAGCATTGTGAGTGTTGCAGTAGGGTCCAACACTCCCAGCAGAAGCCCACCTGCGTGCAACAAGGAGCAACCACCAGAGAGAGGTGGGAGGAGCAAGAGAAAAGGATGTGGCATGTCATCTTAAATGGGAATTCTTGTGCATGCAGACAGGAAGCGGGAGAGCACTGCCTGTTTCCTGACAACTTTGCCACAAACAAGCCCACAGGAATCACCCAGGTGCATGTCACCTACCTGCACGGGATGCCACCGGCACTTGAGCTGAGTCTTCTGCCTGCAATCATGTCTTTCTGTCCTGGAAATTCAACAGACTCTCATTCTGGAAATTACAGAAGCCTTCCTATGGGGAAGCACGTGGCATTATCCAGGAAATGAAAAGGCAGCAGCGCAGGAAACCAGGACACAGCCCATGCCATTAGCTGAGTTGATTTGCGTTTCACGTGAACTTGTCAGAAAATTATTACTTCCCCAAAGGCTGCCTCTGGGCCTGAGGCAGTGCAGGACTACTATAAGAGGCAGTACAACTCTTGGCTCACTCATTCACTTCCCTTGCCTCCTTCTTGTTGGGAATCAGGTGAGTCTGAGGCCTCTTCTCGTCCTCCTCCAAGACCAATTCTTTCCTTGATATCTGGCTCAGCTGACAGGGGCTGTCCTAGCCCAGGGCTGGTTGCTGATTCTCATGGGAAAGGGAAAGGGAGAGAAGGTTGTCCCCTGAGAGAGCCTGGGGCTTAGCTGTTGTTGTTCCTGGGGCTTTCAGCTGGACAGCCTGTGGTGGGCAAGTAGGGGCCTTGGCTTCCCCAAGGTTGGGTGCAGTGCTGCTGCTCATGTGTTTCTGTTTTCTGCTTCCCCCTGCCCTCTCTCACAGGTGCCCCTCCAGCCCCAGAACATGTCCTGCTGCACCCCGTGCCTGCCATGCCAGCCCTGCGGCCCGACCCCGCTGGCCAACAGCTGCAATGAGCCCTGTGTCAGGCAGTGCCAGAGCTCCAA